ATAAAGTTAGAATGGAAGAAATGAGGCTGGGTGCAGTGGCTCACACAATGTAATCCCAGCACTTTGGGAGGCCAAGGGGGAGGGATGACTTGAGCTTAAGAGTTCGAAATCAGTCTAGGCAACATAGTGAGACCTCATCTCTATTAAAATAAAATAAAATAAAATAAAAATAAAAATAAAATAATAGAAGAAATAAAACTGTATTTTTCATAGACAGCATGATTTATGTAGAAAAATCTCAAGACTTGGCCAAAAAAAAAAAAAAAAACCCTGGAATGAATAAGTGATTAAAGCAAGTTGCAGGATACAAAGTTAACAGGCAAAAATCAATTACTTGACAGGAATGAACAATTGAGCAATTGGAATTTGAAATTAAAAATATAATACCACTGGCCAGGTGTAGTGGCTCACACCTGTAATCCTAGCCCCTTGGGAGGCCGAAGCTGGTGGATCATTTGAGGTCACGAGTTTGAGACCAGCCTGGCCAACTTGGTGAAATGCTGTCTCTACTAAAAATACAAAAATTAGCCAGGCATGGTGGTACATGCCCATAATCCCAGCTACTTGGGAGGCTGAGACAGGAGAACTGCTTGAAGCCGGGAGGCAGAGGTTGCAGTGAGCTGAGATGGTACCACTGCACTCCAGCCTGGGCAGCATAGCAAGACTCTGCCTCAAAAAAAAAAAAAATGTCAATTTTCCCAACTTGATCTCTAGATTCAATGCAATCCCAATCAAAATCCCAGAAAGCTATTTTGCAGATATCAATAGATTATCAACTTTATATCGAAAGAAAAAACCCAGAGAGCTAACACTATACTGAAGAAAGGCAACAAAAATGAAGGACTAACACTACCTGACTTCCAGACTTACTACTAAAATACAGTAATCAAGACAGTGTGGTATGGGGGAAAGAAGAGAGAGATCAATGAAACTGAATAGGGCAGGGCGTGGTGGCTCACGCCTATAATCCCAACACTTTGGGAGAATGAGGCGGGTGAAATCACTTGAGCTCAGAAGTTCCAGACCAGCCTGGGCTACACGGCAAAACTCTATCTCTACAAAAATACAAAAATTTGCTGGGAGTGGTGGCACGAGCCTGTAGTACAAGCTACTCGGAAGGCTGAGATGGTAGGATTGCCTGGGCCCAGGAGGCAGAGGCTGCAGTGAGCCAAGATTGTGCCACTGCACTCCAGCCTGTATTTAAAAAAAAAAAAAAAGAAACTGAATAGAAAGCCAGAAATGGATCCATACAAATATATTCAACTGATCTTTGACAAAGAAGCAAAGGCAATTCAATGGAGAAAGGACAGTCTTTTCAACAAATGATACTGGAACAATTAGGTGTTCATATGCAAAAAAAAAAAAAAAATGCATATAGAATATAGACACAAACCTTACACTTTCCACAAAAATTAAAGTAAACTGCCTCATAGACCTAAACGTCAATGGTAAAACTATAAACCTTCTAGACGATAACATAGGAGAAAATCTAGGTAGCCTTGGGTTTGGTGATGAGCTTTAGGATACAATGTTAAGAGCATGATCCATGAAAGAAAAATGTAGTAAGTTCAACTTTTTAAAATTAAGAACTTCTGCTCTACAAAAGACATTGTTAAGACAATGAAAAGACAAGACACAGACTGTGAGAAAATATTTGTGAGACATCTATCTGATAAAGGCTTGTATCCAGAATGTACAAGGGACTCTTAAAACATAACAATTTAAAAAATGAGCCCAGTTAAAAAATAGGCAATCTGAACAAACATCTCATCAAAGAGGATATACAATTCCCAGTACTTTGGGAGGCCGAGACAGGCAGATCATTTGAGCCCAGGAGTTCAAGACCAGCCTGGGCAACATGACAAAACCCTATCTCTACAAAAAATACAAAAATTAGCCAGGCATGGAGATGTGCACCTGTAGTCCTAGCTACTTGGGAGGCTGAAACTTAGGAGAATCACCTGAGCCTGGGAAGTGAGCTGTAATCACACCACTGCACTCCAGCCTGGACGACCAATAAACATACACAAAAACAAGACATACGAATGGCAAGTAAGAACATGAAAAGATGTCCAACATTATGTCATTAGGGAACTGCTAATTAAAACAACAAATGAGATACCACTATATACTTACTAGAATGGCTAAAATCTGGGCCAGGTGTGGTGGCTCATGCATGTAATCTCAGTACTTTGGGAAGCTGAGGTGGGCAAATCACCTGAGGTCAGGAGTCCAAGACCAGCCTGGCCAACATGGTGACATTCCGTCTCTACTGAAAATACAAAAATTAGCCAGGCATGGTGGCAGACACCTGTAAGCCCAGCTACCTGGGAGCCTAAGGCAGGAGAATCACCACTGCACTCCAGTCTGGGCAACAGAGCGAGACTCTGTCTCAAAATAAATCTCCAAAAAAAAAAAAAAAAAAAA